TTTTAACACAAATTGAAAGGCAGTCATTTTATGTTCTTATATATATTAATTGATGAGTTCCCTAACTTAATAAAAATTTTTGTTGAGCAGTTTATCCTGTCAAAAGTTTAGTTTATCAGGATTACTTCTTATCGTTGGATAGAATATATAAATAACATAAAACTATTTTTCTGTACAATTAATTCTCATATTTTCGTCAATTTTTCGTTTAAATATGCCTAATTTTGCTGCAAGTGCAATTATTTAGATTGTATAAAATCTCTTTGTCTTAACTTTTGTCAAATTTATGATTCAATATGAATATCAAAAACTTTCAGAAATTATTATGAATGGCAGAAAATTATTTGGTTGTTCAGAATTAGCAGCAATGAATACTAAATTAAGTGTGCGTCGAGTTGTCGGAAACCTATGTGCTAATCCCCAACAAACTGTTGAAAAAATCGTAAATGGCGAGTATGAGTAGGTTATTATTCTCTATCTATGCTAATTAGTTTGAACTGAAAAATTTGTTCAAGAATGAAACATTTATTGATGGAAATCAATTTCTTATCTGATTAAAAATTTCAGAAATTCAGAAGAACCGATTGAACAGCTTGTTTCTGCTCGCCTTAAACAGATTTATCAACAACTTCTTGTGAGTTTAAATAAAATCCAACTTTGAATATGAAAAGTCGTCGAAAAAAAAATTTCATTTATTAAAATAACATGATTTTTAACGCGAAATATAACATGATTTTTTTTAATAACATGATATAACATGATTTTTAACGTTAATATTTTTTCCGTAATCTTGCTTTGTCAAAAAAAAGGTATGCTTCTTCGAAGAAGCTCATAATTTTTCGAGTATTAATTAATCATAGATTTTCATTATTTCAGACTACTGTCCTTTCACCCTCAGATGAGCCTCCTTTTTCTGAATCTGCATTGAAATTTTTGAATGGATTCGGTAACCGGTCGGAAAAATATATTATTTCTTCCTTCTGTAAGTTTCAATACAAAAGTGAAGGATTTGTTATTGTTAATACCTAATTTTAAATTTTATTTTTCTTGGTCGAATGAAGTTTTTAGGCTTTTCTTAGCGGCCATTTTTTTTTAAATAAATAACATTATTTAGTGTATATTAGTAAATAATGTGACATTGCTTGCTGATTACCTTGCTCTCAAGAATGCAATTTATTAGCAAAACAGCATGAATCAAAGAAGGAATCCAGATCATTGACTTCTGCTGCAGGATTTCTTCATTCACCCAGTGTTAACACCATCTCTTGTTCGGAGGGCATTTCGATTAACAGTTTACCAGAGTAAAAAATTTTCTTGCTAAAATTTAGTAACACTCCATGTTATGTGCATTGAACTATGTTTTATGCATTGAGCTTTCACAATTTTTTTCAACAGAATCACTGATGATGAAGGACGTCAAAACTCTGTAAAAGTTGGAAAAAAATATAGCTCCCCCTCGAGGACCAGTTTTTCAAGCACTACATCAAAATACTCATTAAAATCCACATCGACAAATAGTTCAATGTCATCCCATTCAGCGAATGAAAGTAAATCGAATGGGAAACTTCGCAAAATCTCATATAGAAGAAAGGTGCGTAATATTTTTTTAAGCAAAAGCTTTGCACTTTCCTAGATTTCACTTTTTTTTTCATTAATATTTGTTACTAAGTCATCTTCATTTTTGAATTGAATCTTCAAACTAAAACTTCCAGTACAAATTCTCACTTTTAGTCCAACATGAATGTCTCAAACTATTTAATTGATAAATCAACACAGCATCAAGAAAAAGTTGATGACCATGAAGTTATGGTAGAAATTGGTAAAGCTGTCAGTAGTATGCTTCTAGTAGAAGGATTTATAGAGTCAGTTCCGCCGCTTGACACAATTACAAATGCAGTAAAAATTATTTTCGGTTTATTTTTTCACTCTTTTATCCATAGGAATTACCTCCTTGTGGATAAATTATGTTTCAATAAAGTTGTTTTATAAGTAATTTCAAAAACTGATTTGCAAGCTAAAAAAGTTCATATTTTCAATTTATTGACTATACTTTCACTTATTAAGAAGAAAGTGCTAACGTTTTCGTTTTCAAATGAAGCTAATTCACGGTTAATTTTTAGTGACGCTATTTCATTATTTTAAGGTGTTAAATTTCAATGTTGTATTTTTTATTTTTAGAAGAAACCTATGAGTTCATGCTTATCGCAGCAATCAGATGAGGATAAAGAAACAGTAAAATTGTCTCCATCAAAAATTCTAAAAGTAGATGCAGCTGTTTCAACGGATATTGTGGTTGATGTAAATCGAACAAGTGAAAAAGTTAATGTTGGTGTAAATACCTCAGAAATAACTAATAAGATGACAGATGGTAGTTCGAGTTCAAATACACTTTCTGATAACAGCGTGGGACAGTTGCCAAAACGGTTGTTTGATACTGTTTTGCAAAGGTTCTTTTCAGTTCATTTATTTTTGCATGGTTGTGATGATCATTTCTAATATTTGATTTACATTTCATATTTTTTCATTTCAATTTTTATTGTTATCAAAATAATTTTGTAGATCTTCACTAAGAATAGTTTCGATGCTTCCTGATGGTAGTATTGTTCCGACAAGCAGTAATTCAGTGTTTCGACGTAAGCCTAGTGTTCAGGAATGGATTGTGGAAGATAATGAAGATAATGTGCAGGAATCATCCACCTCTGAGCGAAAATTAGGTAATTTAATAGTTGCTGATGAATAGGATTGCTTAGGCAAGATTTGATTTTTAAAACTAATGAGTTGATATAACTTTCAAAACTGGTGAGGAGGAGTTTCATCATTAAAATTTGACATTAACATAAGAGATATTTAACAAATATAATCAGTCTCTCTATTCAAAAATATATTAATTAGTTTATTTGTGAGTAAAAATATATGAATCATTAAAAGACTAAAGATATTAGAATTTTTTAGCCATGATCTTTTGATGCTGTATTTTTTAATATATATTTTTACTTAATCATGTCTGTTGCTCTTGAACAAATTTCTTTCTTCACTTTATTGTTTTTTTAGTGAAATGGTTATCTTGAAAGAGCACCTACATATCAGTTACTAATAGAATTAAATTTTGTTAATTTTTTCATTCAAAGCTTTTTATATTTCAGAAAGTGGGACAATTTCGACGTCTCAACCTGATCTTTTTGAAGAAGACTTGAATACTTTGGATAATATTTCACCTCTTCCAAAATTTACATCAAAGACCTGACAAATATCAGAAATATTCACCATAAATTTTTATAATTTTGAATTTGACGTGATTAGAAATTTCTTTCTTTGTTTTTGCTTCCATGCATCTTTTTTTAGAATAATAAAATAATTGATCAAGCTCATTATAGGTAATAAATATATGAAATATCATCAAAAATACAAAATTAGATTTGTGATTTGAACGAAATTGCCAAATTTTTAAAGTAAAGGTAACCAATATAGGTATTTTATGTCAGATTTCATTCTTATGGGTGGTTATTTTTAGAAACTTAAAATAAGCGATTTTTAATGGATTTAGTTTCCTTAATTTTTATTTCATTTGAATTTATGTGAAACTTACTTAGTCATTAAGAACATTTCATCTAATTTATCAAAAATTAATGGAAAATTATTCATCTAATGACACTTATTGGCGGGATAAATCCAAATTACAGTACTTTTTTCAATTGTTTTTCATCCCTATGGCTTTATTTTTCAGTCTCAATCTGTATAGCAGTTATGCAATTATTATATTTTTATTTGAGAAAAGAAATTTTACATAAATGCTAGAAATGCTTTGAATTTTGGTTTACCAATTTTTTACTTTGAAAAAAAAGATTAGTTATAAGCCTGACAATAAAGCATAAATTTTATTGTTGGAGAATACGTGTATTTTTTTATTATTTCAGTTTTCATTTTCATTTAGTCATTGTAGTCAAATTTTCGGCTACATTTCAATTATTACTGTACCAATTCAAATTTAATGTTTCGAAGCTACGATATTCCCAGGTATTGTTAATATAATTTTATTGCTGATCAAGAATCCTTTTTTTCAACTTTATTAATTCTTTTTACAACTGTATAACTTTGAAAGTTTTGTTTTGAATGTGTCGATTCTGATTACATTTTATTATTTTACATCATGTACTGCAATAATTTTGACTTCTAGTTATAGAGTATCAGTAATGGAATTACGGCTAGAATCACAATCACTACATCTTTAGTAACTAATTAAATGTTTAGAAATTTTCAAATAATTATTGCTAATTTATTTAGAAGAAATGATAAGTAATGAAAAATTGATTGCAATGTTCATCTCTAAATGCGTCTTTTTCAGTGCATACATGAATAAACGCCCAAAGCGAGGTGAAGCGTATGAACCCACGAATTACGAGCATATTGCGAATGTCCTTTCTCACGGAGTAATTTACATAATTTTCAATTTGAAATGTTTTTTAAACAGCATGCTGATATTTAGCTTTGTTTAATATGTATTCTACCTTTATATGCTATATGTTTTTAGTTATTTGAATTCATCACTTTCTATAGTTTCAGATTTCCATATTTTTAGATAGCAATAATTCCTAGCATATACGGAACACAGTGGCTCACTGCAGTGTCAGAGCAGGAATTGCAGCGAAATGCTTCAATTATTTATTGTTTCTTCACGACGGTGTGTATTAAAGTGCTAAAAATGCAATAGCAATCATATTATTTGTTCTAGCAGTATCAAGCATTAGTAAGTAGTGCTAAATGTGGAGGTTCCTAAGTTGTATTATTATCTGAATCGTATTTTTCGGTTTGTGTTTTTATAAGTTTTAAGAAATTAAAATTAGATTCGTTTTATTAGCCAAGTTTATAAAAAATAATACTCAATATTAATAAATATTTTCCACCAAACTCAAGAAAGTTGAGTTTATAAAACTAATTTGACCGCTGACTCCTTTATTTGTTGGTTATCCTCTCAATTACTCTTCTTTAACAGTACTTTCTGAATTAACAGTAATGAAACAACTCTCATTTTTCATAATCCTGACATATTTTAGGTGCTTTTTACGACATCAACAACTTACCACGCGTGTGAATTTCTTTTTCGCCCTAATAGAAAGTATTTTGTTTTTATTCTTGTAATTAGTTTGTTTCTCTGAACATGTCATAGTGCCATTACTACTTTAAAAATTTTTATTTATTAATTTATGAGGAATTAAAGTTTTGAAATTGTTTTTTTGTTACAATTTTCTAAATTTTTGCCCGTACTTCTGCAAATCATGGAATTTCAGGAAACTTCGCTACTATCTTCATATCACCGATCGTGCTGCCATTTATTTGTTTATAGCAGCTTCGTATACACCATGGCTTGTACTAAAACATTACAGTGATGCAGGATTCTGTTTGAGATGGCTTGTTTGGCTTCTTGCTTTTTTGGGTGTTGTTTATCAGTTTTTGTTCCATGGAAAGTTAGTTTAAATATTCCTTTACAAAATATGTTATTAGCTCTTTTTTTTAGCTTTAAAACTTTCGATCACTATGTGTAATCTGTTTTCAGGCTTTCTGATTTGAAAATTCAGAGCAAAAGTTTTTTGTGTAATGATATAGTAGTGAAACCTATGGATAATATAAATGTTTCACACATTTCATTAAAATATATTCTGGACCTCAAAAAGTATTTATATGTATTGATATTTGTGAGTTGTAATAAATGATTTCCAGGTTCAAAACGCTTGAAACAGTTATATATATTGTTTTCGCTGTTATGCCCTTTACTGCCATGTACCATAGAGTACGTTTATTTATGTTCTGTTTTTTAAGAGATTAGCGTGCAATTTTTTTTATTTGTATGAAATTTCAGTACGATGAGAGCGGGTTAACTTTAATGGTTATTGGAGGAATTGTTTACATTATCGGTGTTGCATTTTTCAAATCAGACGGTATTATACCTTTTGCACACACGATTTGGCATCTTCATGTTGTAGTTGGTAAAGTATAATATCTAATTTTAACATTTTTCATGAGTAGAACGACTTATTCAAATCAGATGATGATTTCTTTATTATCCAAATTATTATAACTTCTATTTTAATAATTAAATCTGCCCTGTATTGATTAAAAGTTGTTTTTTTCTCACGGTACCTTAAAATTATGTGTTAGTGTGCCAGACAGAATCGTTTTCAAATAAGCCGATTACATTAGAGCTATTTTTGTGTTGTAGTTTTCAATTTATTGAGAAGCACGCATTCATATCACTACTACAATTAATAGATGAACTGGAGTTATTGTTAAACAAGATAATGGTTCTATATTTTGCTAGTTCATAAAACGAATTTCTGACAACCAATGATTTGATAGTTTTAGGTGCATATTTGCATTGGTATGCTGTGTATAGCACTCTTCTTGGACCAAATAACACTAATTCAATTCCCGTAATTAATTGACCTTATAAATAGTTGTAATGAAACTGTGGAATTGCATTGAAAGGTATTTGACGAGTATTCAAAGATATTCATGTAATACGAGTGATGGTATACGTTGAAATCAAAAATGTGTATTGTTCAGTATGCTGCGGACGATATCCTAATTCATTGCTCATTAAAAAATGTTCATTTGTTTTTAAGTTCTAAATTTCACTTATCTGAAAGACTACTCGAACTTATAACGTTTCCCCAAATGTGATTTTTGCTTTTTTGCTTCAAGACTTTTAAGCTTTTCATTAATTTCTTATTATGAAAATATTTCAGCTAAAATATAGCAACTTTCATTAGATGATAATTACATTTCGTATTTAGTAGCAATTATATTGAGATAAATTCGATGTTTTAGTGAGGCATAATTATGTTTTGGCGGTGCAAGTATTTACTTATTTGGCGAAAACATTTGAGATTTTTTAGTCAAATAATAACAGGAAATATATAGTATTTACAGTATTTACACATATATTTTTTTGATATATGACAGTACACGGTATGAAAATTCATTTTTGCATAATTTGAACAAAAGGTAGTGTGGTTAATTTTTTAATGAAAATTTAATCACATACTTGTTAATTTACATTTCCGAATGTTAATTTTAATTGGGATTTTTTTTTGCTCATTTCTAGATGGTACTGTGGTTTTTATTAATGCAGGATGGGAGATGTGGAAATTGGAAAAACTAAACTTCAATAAAGATGTCAGTATAAAAGTTGTTATGCTTATGAAAAATTCATTTAGCAAAATTACTAAACTATTTAAAAAGATTCTCAGCTGGTTGATATTTATGAAACGTTTCATAAAAAATATAAAACTTAGTTGCGTTTCTTATTCAGTCATACATTATGCTAATTTATTCTCTCATATTATTGTTATTGTTATTATAGTATGAAGAGTTTTAGGAGATCTCTTGTCTTAATTTAGCGATTATCAAGAGTTTGCTCCATTACTTCTTATCTTTTATATTTATCTTCACTCCTGTTGTTTGTTTTATTTAATTAATTATTTTACATAGACATGTTGAAATAAGTGATATCTTTTTTGAACTTAAAATGAAATTGCAAATCATTTTATATTTAATAAATTTTATCTCAATGAATTTGAAATTTTTTTATTCTTCGTTATTCTTTTTTGCCATGCATAAGTATCTGATAATCATATTTCTAGTTTCTATTTCGACAAGGTAATTATGTAGATTTATATACTTGGATTATTACGCAAGATTTTTTGGATTTAATAAATTATCATTAAATTGGTTTTTTTTTCTTGCAAAGTAATGCATTTTACTAAAATATGCATAAAATTGCACTGGAAAATATAGGCTCAATATTGTAGTTTTTAGTCAGTAGCACAGGAAATGATGGATGTTTAGATAAATGTGATCGAGAAGTATATCAAATATCTATAAGTATTGTAGTTTATGTGTCTGAATTTATCGTCATTTATGAACTATATATACTTTCTGTAAGATTACGACATTAACTTTGATGACTTATTGGTACGTTGTTTTGCATATTTAATAAAGTGGACTGATTTTATTTACAGCAATTAAAAAAAATATTGAAATTAGAACTTGCTCTTATGTAGTTTAATTTTTTGCGCATATGATGATGCTATGATTCTATATCATCTTCTTCCAAATGTATGACTTGACTGATGTACCCTCAAAGACGAAATGATTACTTTTCACATTTGACAACAAGATTTGCCATGAAGATTACTGTTATTATCTTGAATTATATTCTTTTAGAAATAATTAAAATGTGAAAGCAAAAAAAAACCAAAATATAAATGTCAAGGTTTTTTACACTTTATGTACAAATCTGATACTTGTACAAAGTTTAATATCAGTATTTCAAAAAATTCTATCAAAATATTCTGATTTGAATAATTATTTGAGTAATAACTTGCGATTCAATTTCAGAATCTGATTTTTATTGATAGCAATTAGTTGATGAATACAAATGAAGAAAAAAATAAATATAAGCAGTGATAATGAAATAATTATAGCTGTCGAAGTGCTAGCTAATAAATTGTAAATGTTCGCCATAAATTTTTTTTTGCTCATTTC